CTATTTTCTCTTCTAAGAGGTTCAGTGTGGCTGGGTTGATGTTGAGATCTTTGATCCATTTGTTCTTGAGATTTGTGCATGGCGACAGACATGGGTCTATCTGCAGTCTTCTACACACCCTCATCCAATTGTGCCAGCACCATTTGTTGAAGATGCTGTCCTCGCCCCATTGTATAAATTTAGCTGTTTTGTCAAAAATCAGGTATTCATAGGTGTGTGGGTTAATATCAGGATTTTCAATTCGATTCCATTTGTCTACCTGTCTATTTTTGTGCCAATACCAGGCTGTTTTCAGAACTATAGCTCTGTAGTAGAGCTTAAAGTCAGGAATGGTGATGCCTCCTGAAGTTCTTTTATTATATAGGGTTGTTTTGGCTACCCTGGGTCTTTTGTTTTTCCATATAAAGTTGATTATTATCCTTTCAAGGTCGGTGAAGAATTGTGGTGGGATTTTAATGGGGATTGCATTGAATCTGTAGATTGCTTTTGGCAAGATTACCATTTTTACTATGTTTATCCTACCTATCCAAGAGCATGGGAGATCTTTCCATTTTCTGGTATCTTCTTTAATTTCTTTTTGAGGGAGGATTCTTGACTCAGCATAAGAAGCAAACCCTTCTAACAAATATTTTTTAAAAATTGTGGAGAGAGAGAGGGCGAGATTGAATGTATTTATGCAATACATTCTATGATATGTGGGTGAGGACAGAGGATAGTGTGTGGGAACTGGATGTCCTCTCACAATGTGGGTTCCTGGGATATGGTCTGCATCAAGAGCCTTTACCTGCTGAGCCATCTCACTGGCCATTCCATTTCCTTTTAACTTAGGTCTTTTGAAAAATTATTGCATGCTGCCTCATAAGCATAAGTGGGCTTTTGTTGTTGTTCTTCCCTAACGAATGAATGCTTACACTTGATTCAGATCAGAAGAATCTTTCTATCTCCCCATGTTCAAAAAGGGTAATATTGGGAGTAGCTTTGGTGGAAAAAGGTGAGAAAGGTTGTGGTAGAAGATGAGGGGCAGGTACACAAAGATGAAGATTGCAGATGACAAAGCAACATTGACCTGATGATTTGGAAGCTCATTTCTTGGTATCTGGGACAAAATCTGGTTATTTACATAACCTGCTTAGATTTCATTGTATTAGTCAGTGCTACAAAGGCATGGTGACAGCAAGTACCAGCTACTGCATAGATCCTAGACTTAAGTATTAGTTTGAACAGTTATAAATCAAGACATGTTCTTGGGGTTTTGTTTTTTATGAATAAAATAAGGTTTGCTAATCTAGATTGTAATTTAAATCCTTCCTCTCTTCTATCCTTAATGCTTACAATAGCATTGTAAAACACATCCTGTTTCTATAGACCTTTGTTAAAAATTAGAATTGACATTATGGACTTGAGTGCTATATGGGCCAAAAGTAGTTTGTATGTCAATGTGAATGTATCTTAAATGAAAACACCTTATTTCAGCTGTGTGTCCAGGTTGGAACACACAACACAGTCTTGATTCTTGTCTCCCTGATTATGTCTGTTATCCTTACCTTCTGACCTTCACACACAGTTTATATAACTTGGTATTTAGACTATCTAGCCCCTTTCATTTACTTATTTAACTACTAATCATTCTTTGAAGTTATACCGAAGCTTTGCTTTCCTCAAGACACCTCATCCAATGTCCTCCGGTCAATATGTAACCTTCATTCATAGTTTTTGCCTGTGAGAATTCAAGTAGTTCAGTGGATAGAGGATGGGTTTTGTAATTATCCTGGTTTACAGTGTTTGCACTGCCTTAGCCACTAGTCTTTCTTCTTTTAAAACTTGGGGAAAATAGCACCAGACTTATGCATGTTTTGAGAAAATACAATGAGGTGTAAAAAAAAAAAGTCCTTTAATGTTTTTAAACTGTTCCACACAGCATCTAACACATCTAGTATTAATAGCTATCATGATGTTGTTTAGTGTTAAGCTCATAAACCCATTTCTTAAATGGTTTATAATTTCCATAGGGATATCTTCTCCATTTATATACTATTTCACTACAGATAAGGTCTAGTGCTGTTCTAAAATATAATATGGTATGGAATGATTTTGGATGTATGTATGGCTGGTGACTAGGGTCACATAAAGTAATATTCTCAAAAAGGGAGTTATAATGGGGATTGGGAGATGATTCAGTTGGTAAAATGCTTATGAGGACCTGAATTCAACCCCAAAGCCCAGTCCTAAGGTGTGCGCCTTTAATGGTGATGCTTGGGAAATAGAGATGGGAGGATCCCTGGGGCTTGCCAGCCAACCAGTCTAACCACTTTGGTGACCTTCAGGTCAGTAAGAGTTCCTCCTTCAACAAGGTTAGGTAGAGAGTGATGGAATAAGGTACCAAACATAGACCTCTGGCTTCTAAATATACACAGTAACACACACACACACACACACACACACACACACACACACACACACACACGAGTAGATGGCAACATTTGGTTTCAATATGCCTTTACAGCAATGTCTCTTGACACTACCTAAATATAATACCAATAGAACAGACACTAGAGCAACAATCAATAAATGGGACCTCCTGAAACAGAAGCTTCTGTAAGGCAACAGATACGGTCAATGAGACAAAATGGCAGCCTACAGAATGGGAAAAGATATTTATCAACCCCACATGTGATAGAGGGCTGATCTTCAAAATATACAAAGAACTCAACAAAGTAGACACAAAATAGAAAATACCGAATTTAAAAAATGGAGTACAGATCTACCAGAGAATTCTCAACAGAAGAAACTTCAATGGCTGAAAGGCATTTAAGGACTTGCTCAACATCCTGAACCATCAAGGAAATGCAAATCAAAATGATCCTGAGATATCATCTTACACCTATCAGAATGGGTAAGATCAAAAACACTGATGACAGCTTATGCTGGAGAGGATGTGGAGTAAGGGGAACACTCCTCCATTGGGTACTCCATTGGGTATGTTTTACTTTTATTTTTGTTGAATTCTAGGAAGTTTTAATATCTTTATTTCTTCCTTGATACAGTGATGATTCAGCTGAGCATTGCTCAGTTTCCATTAGTTTGTAGGCTTTCTTCAACTAGTATTGTTAATTCTAACTTTAAGCTATGATGATTTGGTAAGATACAGAGGGTTAGTCCCCATTTTTTTTTTTTTTTTTTTTTTTTTTTTGTATTTGTTGAGGTTTGCTTAGTTACTGAGCATGTGGTCAATTTTAGAGAAGGTTCCAGGAGGTGCTGAGAAGTTATATCCTTTTGTGTTTGGGTGGAATGTTCTGTAGATGTCTATTAAGTCCATTTGAGTCATGACATCTGTTAGTTCAGTTTTATCTCTGTTAAGTTTCTGACTGGCAGACATGTCCAGTGGTGAGGTATTGAAGTCTCCCACTATTAGTGTATGCGGTTTGATGTGTAATTTAAGCTTTAGTAATGTTTCTTTTACAAATGTGGGTACCCTTGTATTTGTGGCATAGATGTTTAGAATTGAGACTTTATCTTGATGCATTTTCTCTATTTTGTTAATATTAGAATAGCTAATAGATCTATTCAATTGGAAAATCTTTTTCCAACCTTTACTTTGAGGTAATGTCTATTGAGGCTAAAGTATGTTTCTTGTATGCAGCAGAAGGATGGATCCTGTCTTCTTATCCATTCTGATAGCCTGTGTCTTTTTATAGATGAGTTGAGACCATTGATATTAAGAGATATTGATGAACAGTGATTGTTAATTCCTATTATACTTGGTTTTGTTTTTTGTTTTTGTTGGTAGTGTTTGTATGTTCCCCTTCTTTGGGGTTTGCTGGTGTGAGTTTATCTGTTGCCCTTGTTTTTATGGGTGCAGCTAACTTCCTTGGGTCAGAGTTTTCCTTCTAGTACTTTCTGTAGGGTTGGATTTGTAGGGCCGCTGGTTTTGTCATGGGATACCTTGTTTTCTCCATCTGTGGTGATTGGAAGCTTTGCTGGGTATGTAGTCTGGGTTGGCATCTGTGGTCTCTTAATGTCTGCAGAACATCTGCCCAGGACCTTCTGGCTTTCAGAGTTTTCATGGAGAAAATTCTTATAGGTCTGCCTATATAATTCTTATAGGTCTGCCTCTATATGTTGCTTGGTCCCTTTCCTTTGTCTCTTGTAGTATTCTTTCTTTATTTTGTATATTTAGCATTTTGATTACTATATGAGGAGGGATATATATATATATATACATATATACATATATAAATACATATATATATGTATACATATATATATATTCTATTTTGTGTTCTATAAGCTTCTTGAACCTTTGTAGGCATATCCTTCTTTAGGTTGGAATTTTTTTTTCTATGATTTTGTTGAATATATTTTCTGTTCCTTTGAGATTGGATTCTTCTCCTTCTTCTATCCCTATTATTAGGGATAGAAAAGACCCTATTGGTCTTTTCATGGTGTCCTGGAGTTCCTGGATGTTTTATAGTAAGAATTTGTTTGATTTAACATTTTCTTTGACTGATGGTTCTATTTCCTCTATTGTATTTTCAGCGTCTGAGATTTTCTCTTCCATCTCTTGCATTCTGTTGCATCTTTAGTGCCTGTTCATTTACCCAAAATTATCATCTTCCAAATTCCTTCAGTTTGTGATTTCTTTATTGCTTCAACTTCAATTTTCAAGTCTTGGGCTTGTTTGATATTTTTTTCTTGACTTTCTTTAAGGGATTTGTCGATTTCTTCCAATTTTTTGTTTTTCTTTTCCTCTGTTTCTTTAAGGTAATTTTTCATTTCCTCTTTAAGGGCCTCTATCATCTTCATAAAGTTATTTTTAGGTAATTTTCTTCTACTTCATCTGTGTTGGGATGTTCAGGTCTTGCCTTTGTAGAGCCACTAGTTTCTGGTGGTGTTGTACTGCTCTTTAAGTTGTTGAATGTGTTCTTACCTGATGTCTACCCATCTCTTCCTCCAATTGGTGCAGATGGGGCCTGTGGCTCCAGGGGTTGCTATTCCTCCAGGTGCAGGTGGGCTATGTGGCTCCCTTGGTCACTGATGCAATGGGAGAATTGTTGAGTGGTGCGGGTGAGGAGGATGTTGCTGTCTGGTCACTGGAGCTGCAGTAGATGGACTGGGGCTCAGGATATGGCCCCAAGGGCTGGGGCCTAGAGAGCAGGGCTACCCAGAAGGGAGATCAGGCACCTACCTCTTCCTTCAGGTATGGCTGAGGCATGTGGACAACACTTTTCAGATAATTAGAAGACCAGAAGGAGCATTATGTTCAGTAGAACTGAATTTAAATTAGTCTTACCAGTGAAGCAAATTGGGAATAGATTTCATGAAATTTACTTTGTAAAAATGCCTTCAGCTCTTAGTATTCCTTAGTTTTTTGTAGTTTCTTGTCTAGCTAGGCTTGGCATGAAATTATGTATACACACACACACACACACACACACACACACACATATATATATATATGTAACTACACAGACTAAGCAAGTTGTATTTATATATTTAGGTATATGTGTAAATATAAATAAATAAAATATATGTAACAAGAGTTAAAGAAAAAGAAGCTATGAATTTGAGAGAGAGGAGGATTTCATGGGTGTGTGGGGGAGTTGGAGGGAAGTAAGGGGAAAATGATGTAATTGTATTTTAATTAAAAATTAAAAAAGAAAAAACTCAAAAGAAATGCCTTCAGGCTAGTTAACTGCCTTAAATTAAGGGGTCAAGGGAATGATAGAACAAGAAGTTATTGGTCAAAGGATACAAACTTTCAGCTTTAGTATGAAGGGATTCTAGGAATCTGTGTACAGCATGGGTAGTTCTTGTCATATTAATATGATTATAGTAATCAGTATGTATTTATTTAATAAGTGCATTATATAAGTATGTCAGGTATAGTTCTTACAATCATCGTTTAGAATATCTTGTATACACAAATAAAAATTAAAAAGGAAAAAATTCCAGATGGGTGATGACTAACCACAAAGAAAATCATCCTAGGCTAACCCTTGAGTTTAAGAACCCTGAGGAATTAAGACAACAGAAGTTTAGGCTTATTTATTAGTACATAGAGGAAAATGAGAAATTCCAGCCACATAATAATATATGGAAAGAAAGGAGTCATGTGCCACTGTCATGGGGTGGCCTAAAGAACATGTAAGGTAGAGGAAGCCCCCATTTAAGCTTTTATGAAAGTGGAGGTTGCACATATTTTATTGAAGACTTAAAAGTGTATACATAAGAGTACATTTGGAGTTATGTAGGTGCAGTCTAAGAAAAACTGGAATTGGGAACTGGGAGATGGGAGGTGTTAAGCTTCTGGAAGAATCTATAAGCAGGAGATTCACATCAGTGGCCATTGTTAGATGAAATGTGTTAATTGCTCAATTGGGGGGAATATCCTTTCTCACTCTGTAATGATCTTAGCTTTCTTGAAAGAATCCTGATTAAATTCTTCCTTTTAAGCATAAGTGAGCCAAAGACCGCTACATTAAAATATTCATGTCTGTTTTACATAGCATTCTGTTTCTTATTTACCAAGTCAAGTAAAACGACTATTTATGATGCTTAAAAATCTGCTTCTGAAAATCTCCAAGCATTTCAGATATCATTTTAAGAATTCATTATGAAGTATTTAAAATGTTCAATTATACAGTACCATGGTCTACTAAAATTCAATCCATTTCCAACATGCTTCATTCTATCTAACACATATTTTATTGATGTGTACATTGGACAGGAGATGTCATTACTTTCATTTTTCAAAATTCTCTCCCCATAAACATGGGAGGTTCTCAAAAACCCTCCACTCCTGGGTATATACACAAAAGATTTATGTCAGCATGTCATGGAGATACATGCATATCTGTGCTCATTCCTGTAGCATTTGTAACAGTCAAGATATGAGACAAGTATAGATGTTCAGTAACAGATGAGCAGAGAAAGAAATTGTAGTGTATATGCAACAGAATTTTATTCAATCATAAAGAATAATTAAATAATGGTACTGGAAGGAAAATTTATACAATCCCACACATATACATACACATGTACACATGCATGTACACACACATACACAGAGAATTTCATTCATTATTAAAGATTATTCTGAGTCAGCAGTTCCTGAATTTCCAACTTATTGCCATAACCATCCATTTTCACTACTTCACAAACCACAGATCTTTATAAGGTACTTCCTTATAAAGTTAAAAATCTGCAGAAAATTATGAATTTTTATGTGAGAACCCTACCCTTAAAAATAAATGTTCAAAATGACTCTCCATCTAAAATTTGATTTCCACTTTGGTAGTTAACACTCAGGACAAGCAGGGATCTTCTATTAAATTGGTAAAGTAAAAACACGGAGTCATATTTTAAGTCAAAGTCTTGTTGCTCTATTTCTATCTGCTGTCCTTGCAGTGCAGTTTATTGGTGTCACTTCAGTCACTTAGGGAGGAGGCCATTGAATAAAGCATGTTTGAGCCAACTTTCATGTACTAGAAAAGATTTATTAAATTTTGACAAGGTTGTTTGCCATGTGATAATTTGCCTTGTGGGCAGTTTATAGCTACTTTATACTGGGGAATGTTTATTGAAATAGTTAATGCTTTGTTATGAGTTGTTTAAAAATTTACAATGCTGACAGGAATAAGGGAGGTGGCAAACATTTTGGCCTTTCTTCAGTGTGGTGGTTACTTGTGCATGTCTTAGGCCCACCAAGGCTGTAAGATTGTTGATGAGAGTTGGCATCGAGGGAACAAAGTCCTGGGAGAGTTACTATCAAGAGGATCTTGTCTGATGCTACCTTTCTTTTAGTATAGACTAGTTGTACAAGATGTTGATTTCATTATGATACTTCCATACAATGTACTTTCTGATCATATTCACCTCCATACCCTGCCCTGTCTCCCTCATATTGGTACTTTTCCTCTTCCCAAATTGTCCTCTGTCTATATATGGCTCTGAAAAAGACTAGCTTCTGCATATGAGAATGAACATGTTTAGCTATCTTCCTCAGTCTGGCTTATTATACTTGATACAATTCCCAGCCCCATCTATTTTATTTTGGGTAGTTTTTAAATGGCATTTCCCTAATGTCCTAAGGACTTTCTACTAGGTCCTACTTATTAGAAGTGCTGTCACTTCTCACAGTATCACACTAAGGACCAAGCTTCCAATGTAGAAACCTTGGGGGTTAAAAAAAATGCAACCTAACCCAACCCAACCTAAACCAAACCCCATACATCATAGTACCAACTTTACTGTAATATCCTCTGTTGAAAATTTTGTAGCTGTGTTTTATTTTTCAAACCTTAAAATGTATAAATTTATTTATACAGCAAATAAAATTGTATATAAAACATGGTAATATGATGCTTTGATGTACACATACAGTAAAAATGACTAGCAATGTAAAGTCAGTTCATGTCAGAAGTTATTCATCTTGTGACTAGAACTCTTTGGTCAGTATCTTATTTTCTTCTTCTGGTCATGACTCCTCTACTGTCTGCTTATGTGTTCCATGTTGTTAGATTCCACATACTAATGAAACTATGAAATATTTGACTTTCTTTGTCTAGCTTTCATTTAGTGTAATGTCCTCTTAGTTTCATGTGTTATAAATGGGAAGATTAGCTTCTTTTTAAAGGCTGAAAACTGTCATAAACTATATTTTATTATTATTTTTTTACATGAAATAAACATTGTCTATTTTGTATGTAGTATACCAGGCTTCCTTTGTCACTATTTGTCTGTAGCCTCTTATGTGATTTTGGCTATTGCACAGAATGCTGCAATATATACAGGAATGACTTATAACATTGAGATCATTAAGATAGCATCTCCAGCTCCACCCAATGTATATTTTTGACACTTTTGTTGACAAGTAGGTTGCTATAACAACCCTGTCTCCCTCTCTATCTAAGACTTACTCCGTTTTGCTGGGTGATCCTAGGTTTTCAGTGTTTGTGATTCTGCTAATTGGTATATGTGTGGTTGGGTGCCCATTCTTGTGTTTACCTTTGCCACTGAATGGTCTACTTATACCAGAATCCTGGCGTTCTTCTTTTTTCTTTTTTTTCTGCTGGGGCCATAGCTTCCCTATGGTGGAGAGGGACTCCTTTCTTTCTTTCTTTCTTTCTTTCTTTCTTTCTTTCTTTCTTTCTTCCTTCCTTCCTTCCTTCCTTCCTTCCTTCCTTCCTCCCAATTTTTATTTTACATATGGATCCCAGTTCCCTCTCCCTTGCTCCTTCTCTCCTTCCTTCCCTCCCTTCCTTCCTCCCTCTTTCCTTCTTTCCCACCCTCTCATGCCTCCCGACCACCCTCCCCTCACATCCCCTCCACTCCACTTGTGGGGTGATGCCCTCCAGGAGGAGTCATCTGTCAAGTCATTTGGAGTAGGGACTAGGCCTTCTCTCCTGTCTCTAGGTTAAGAGAGTATCCCTCCATGGCGGATGTGCCCCCAAAGTCCTTTTGTGCACCAGGAATACATCCTGGTTCCACTTTCTGAGGTCCCTTAGACTGCTCAGTCCTTCTAGCTGAGACTAGAAGGACTGTTCAGCGGGTCAGAGTCAGTCCCATGCTGGCTTCCCAGCTATCAGTCTGGGGGCCCCTTAGCTCCTCCTTGTTCAGTTCAGCTGTCTCTATGTGTTTCTGCAGCTTGGTCTTGTCCAAGAGGGACTCTTTCTACATTTTAGAAGCTGAGTGGTACTACACTTTCTGTCTTCCTTGGTGGAGCTGTTTGGCAACACATTATGTCTCTCAGAATGGTGTCCTTCCTCCTTTAGCTGGAAGGAAAAGCACAAGAGGCAATGAGCCCCTCCTTTATTGGCTTCCCAGCTCTCTGCAAATCCCCTATCTGAAGTCTAGTCACTCTCTTTCATTTGTGGTCCAGAGTGGATCATGTAGGGAGGGGAATGGGGTCATGGTTCCCCCTTTCCCACTCCTCCATTTAGGACTCTGAGAATGTGTTGCTTAATTATAAATCTAACTTGCTGGATTTCTGTAGTTTGCCCCTTCCTTCCTTCCTTCCTTCCTTCCTTCCTTCCTTCCTTCCTTCCTTCCTTCTTTCTTTCTTTCTTTCTTTCTTTCTTTCTTTCTTTCTTTCTGTGTTTACTGT